AATAACGAATGGGAGCATCCGTTATATCCTGGTTATTTTATAACACCCCCTCTCACTGGATGAAAGTCACATTTCCTTAATATGGTATGAGCATTTAATAACGAATTGGAGCATCCGTTATATCCTGGTAATTTTATAACACCCCCTCTCATTGGCAGAAAGCCATATTTAAATAACAGTACATGAACTTAGCACCAATGACAGTTAAATCTCACATAACGAATATATTTTATACTAAGGACGCGTGCTTTCGATGGTCCAGAACAGCATGGCATCATTTCTGAAGTGAAACAAATTCTGCGCATGCTCCAACAAGTGAGTACCTTAAACTGCTGGCTCAGCAACTTCTTCAAGTCTTGCACATCCAAGTCCTTCAGCAGCTTTCCAACCTTCTTAACGTTCTCCGCTGACCATTTCGATATGTCTGTGCCTATTTCTTTCTTGACTTTCTCCAACAGTGCCCTCCCCTGTGGGTAGCTGAACTCGGCTGCACTAGCAATGCGGTCAATCACTGTTGCAACCTTGAAAATTAAAAAAAAATTTTACTTGGCCATCCATTGTTTTCCAAATTCACAAAAAGATCTCCACCTCTTTACTGATCATTTGTATCATATCTTACCGTCCAAACCAAGAGTTTTGCATTTTGAAATGGTTGAGAGTGCTCGCCAGGTTTGATTCCTGGACTTGGTGTCGTATGTGACTAGAGTTTGCTGTTCATTCTCAATCTTGCTTCAAGGGGTTTTTTTTTGTCGAAGTATTATGATCATCCGGGTGGATGTAGTCTTGAGAAGGACTGTTTGATGGGACTGACGTTTCGACAACCTGAGCGGACGTTATCTTCAGAGTCAAGTGAATAATAAAATAAAGGATTTTCCCGCGCTCTCTTTGGTTGTTTTGATCACTAAAAACTAAATGTTTTCATCGTTTCTCTTGATGTTTTTTGCTATTGTAAAAAAACAAATTGATATAAAAAATTATAAGGTTGAGGAAGCATTTTTTTGTTATAAAACAAGGGATTCCATCCTACAAAACACTTTAAATTGACATCAGTTTTTGAATTGTGTCTGTCCTATTATCGACAATAAATTTCGTCATCACATTATCAGAGTAGTATGCGGATTCACGGTACTGACGAAATTTATCGTCAATAAGAGGACAGACACATAAAAAGCTGATGTAAATTTTGTTAGAGTGCAAACAATTAATCCGTGAAGCACTATTTACTAAATAGTACAAAAGCGATATTAAACAATAGAAAACAATGGAATTTCACATGAAATTGTACTATTTAGTATTACTAAAGTTTCACGGTTATATTGTTTGCACTCTAAATAGTTGATTTTTTTTTACATAGGTAAATAAAGTTGTCTGTCTGTCTATGAATATGAAATGTACTCTACATGTACTCACAACTTTTTGAGTCAACTGAAGGACTTCTTCTACCGGCAGAGCACGAAGCACACCACACAGCTTGGTTAGTACAACATCATCCCAGTTCGACACGTCACCATACACGGCTTTGGCGGGAACGAGGAGAGCCTGCTTCTGGTCATCGTTCAGTTTGGCAGTACAAAGAAAGTTGGTTCTGTTTTGAATGGTTATCAAATAAATTAAAGCACAGACAGCAAAGGTTAAAACACAGACTTACAGGACAATCATACAGGCACATGGACAGAAAGACAAACTAATGGAAAAAAAGGCACATGGACCGACAGACAAACTCATGGACAGACAGACAGACAAATGGATAGAAAAACACATGGACAGGGACATATAAACATATGGACAGACAGACAGACACATAGACGGAGAGACAGTAAGGTAGTCAGTGACGTTGACACATGGAAGGAGATGGACACACGGATGAAGCGACAGACAAATGGACAGAGAGACATATAGTCAGACAGACATACAAACACATGGACAGAGAGACAGACACATGGACTGAGAGACAGACACATGAGACAGAGATAACAAACAAATGAACAGACAGACAGACAAACGTATGGACAGACAGACAGACAAACCCATGGACAGACAGACATACAAACATATGGACAGACAGACAGAAAAACCCATG